TCTGTACGGACTGTCGTACAAGTAAGTTGGTTGACGATTGCCTTTGCTTCTGGGGCTCACATGGGAAAGTGTCTGTTGTATCAAGTGTGAAATTTTAATGCCACGTTTACATCCGAGTTTCTCTTCACAAGGAAAGCAAAACGTGACAACGCAGTGGGAAATTTCCTCAAAGTCCTGCAGCATGTGCCCAGCGATCTGCTCAAGTACGTCAGAAACTTCACGACGGATGTAGCGACTGGCGTTGGTCTGTTAGAGATCGTTTGGTCTTGCGTTTTATGTTTAGGAGAGCTTTCCTGAAGATGTGCAACGGACCCGAGGCGTTCCTCTCGCTGCGATCCCACTTCATCACGTCCCACGCTCTGCTGTGTGTGAGCCACTGGGTTCTCGGAATCGGAGACCGCCACCTTTCCAACTTTATGATCAACACGGAAACCGGCGGTATGATCGGCATCGACTTCGGCCATGCGTTTGGATCGGCCACACAGGTACGCCCAATGACTTCAGACGTAAAGACAGCATAAAGGTAGGACTCAAGGTCTGAATGTCGAATGTTGCGCTTACTTCCAGTTCCTCCCGGTGCCGGAGCTCATGCCCTTCCGGCTGACTCAGCAGTTTGTGAATCTGATCCAGCCATTGAAGGAGTCCGGTTTGATCCAGAGCACCATGGTCCACTCCCTGCGAGCCTTCAGGGCAGAACCGGACCTGCTGCTCAACACCATGGATGTGTTTGTGAAGGAACCCTCACTGGACTGGAAGGTAATCGAAACACCTGCTGAGGTTTCCATTAATAACGATGCTGTGACAGAGCTACCCTCAACTGAAAGTGACTTTTTTTCTCTTCTGTTGTGTTTTGTTGTTGCTCTTTCTTCCATTCTGTTATGATTTTGGATGTTAAAATTATGATTGAGCTCATTTATCTGCTTTCCTCCAGTACAGGATACTAGCATGATACATAGGTCAACCTCAAATATAATCCCTTCTATCCTTTTCTAAAATTGATTTTCATTTTGGTATTCTTTTTGTAATTTGCAAAAGAAAAAAAAAGACAAAATCTTAATATGTCTGAATTAGTTTAAATAAAAAATAGTCTTTATTTTCAAAGTACAATAAAAAAAGTTTTTTTTCTACTTTGGTTTTATGCAGAACTTTGAGATGAAACAACTGAAGAAAGGAGGAACATGGACCCAGAGCGTAAATACCAAAGAAATCAACTGGTTTCCTCTGCAGAAGGTGAACTTCGCCAGAAGGAAACTAGAGGGCGCTAATCCATCTGCAATAACCAGGTACTTTCAAACTGTTGTGTGTTTTATGGGATTTACTCTGATGTTAAGGAGTTCATATTGAAGGCCAAGTATGCTTTATAATCTAGTTCTTATTTTATTTTTTCATTATGAGTACATCAGCTGCTATTTGAATGCTCTTCTGCTGAATGAACTGCAACATTTCCTTCAGGTGGTAGATTTATAGAGTTCGGCAAAAACATTCTTGCCTCTTAACATTCCTCAAATTTACAAACTATTTACACAAACCTCTGTGTAAATAGAAGGTCATTCTTACTTTGCTGACAAAGTGAAGGATTTTTGGCGTTCTGGTGAAATTTCAGATGCACAGGAACCCTAATAGGTGAACTTAAGATGACCTTCTCTAAACCTTTGAAAGGTGCACTGAACGTTCACCTGTTCAGTGTTTCTGTACCTTCTGCTCAATTTGCTGTTCTCTAACAAGGAACTTAGCAGTAGAATTCACATCAGGTGTTTGATCCATCCACCTGAATGCTGATTCATCAACCTATTTATGCGTAATTGGTACAGTTGAATTTTTTTGTATGGTATTTTTTTTCATTTAAACACAAACTATTTGGGTATTTTGCAATTACGAAGGCCACAAGTTGAAACGTGTTGATCGGTCAATGAAGTTGCTTCTTAGCACTCCAAGCGTCATGGGAGTCTTTACCTTAGCAAATCTATGAATCGACCATCAATGTCCTGGTTCAATCAGAATTGATATTTAACCAGTCATCCTCATCATGCTGTTCATAATTTAACATTGTGAGGCCAAGATGACGACTAACAACAGATCAACAGTACACCACCTTTACTGGTCTGTAAACAGGAAGTTCTCAGACGGAAGTGGCCACTGAGCTTAGAGTGACATCAGAAGGTTGTAGACAGACTGGAAGAGTGACAGAAAGGTTTAGAAGTGGACGTTCTTTAGATACATCCCACACTGATGGCCACTTCCAGGCCAGAACCCTGTGGTAAGTGATGATGAATGGCATTCAACTCCTGACCCATTTAAAGGAGGTGAAAGGCACCCAAGTGTCACATCAGACCCTTTGAAACCTTAAACATCATCATGATCAGCTTGCTAAATAACCTGCAAGGTAACTGGCCACACCACCAGGCACAGGCTTCATCGTCTTGTTTGGGTAAGGAAGTGTTTACACCAGACAAGAGACATCATAACACCATCAGGGCTGTTTTGATGGAAGTCAATTCATGTTGAGCAGAAATAACGGCCGCCAACGATGGTGGAGACGTCAAGCACAGCACTGTTTGTTCAACAAGGGCGGCACGCCACGCCCATGCTAAAGAGCTTAGGTTGTTGTGAACAGCATGAGATGTCGATGTATTGACAGTTTTTGTTGTGGCATATCCACCACTGTTGTTGACTTCTTTTAGTACATTGTTTGAGTTGAGGAAAACCACCGTTGCTTGCTTCTACTTAGATCCCCTACCTTCATGATATGTCATAATTGTAGTATGAAGTTTTTACATTCTCCATAAATTTCTCCTGAAAGCCAAATATCCTAAACTTTTCGTGCGTAGTGTACATGGTTTATGAAATCTCTCCCCAAGGCTTGGTGGAAAGAATAGCTGTCCCACAATCTAGGGCAAGGCACTCTCCTTGTAGAGAACATTTTTTTATACACAGCTACTACAAAGACTCTTACTATAACTTTGTAAACATATTATTTGTGTCCCATGATGTGTTTATTTCATCAGCGAGGAGCTGAAGCTGGGTTTTGAAAAGGATCCCGCCTTCCAAGGAATGCAGGCAGTGGCTTTGGGATCTGAGGAGCACAATGTCCGGGCGAAGCTTCCAGCCGCGAACCTGTCTGTGGAGCAGCAGGTGGACTGCCTGCTGGACCAGGCCATGGACCCAAATGTGCTTGGCAGAGTTTATGTAGGATGGGAGCCATGGATCTGATGTGAATCACTGTCCTTAGTGTTTATAATTGTTGTGGATGAAGGCAAAGTAATTACTGGGAAAGAAATTCTTTCTGTGATTGGAATGGTGTTAAATGTGAAGGAGAAATGCTTGTAAGGTTAGCATCAAAATGCTAACCTTGTTTTTTATAGAAATGGAGAAATTGCTGCATTTTAATGGAAATGGTCAAATGTAACACTGGAGTTCTAATACCGTAAGATCGTGGCAAGCATCTGAATTTCAATAAAATATTACAAAGTCATCGGTTTGTGAGGCTGTTTCTTACGCAGCCCCCCAGGGGACATGAGGAATTTTTTTTCTTTTGCGTTCCCTCGCAAAAGGTTTTGCGCTCGCTCGCAATAATCTACTGATCATTTCATGCGGCATAATTGAATCCTGTAAGCCTTTTAGCAGCCCTTAGCCTGCTAAGTTAACTAATTAGACTGATATTAGAATAATTTCACTTAGAGCTCCAATTACAGGGTTGTGCAATTTGTGCAAGGCTCAATTTCACACTACAGTTTGCTAAGGTTCAGTTCTACAGTAAGATATTGTGTATTATGTATTCCTGACCACGCTTCTATCAATCCCATGCCTGGTTGTACAAGGGTAAAACGATGATTAAACATTTTAATTGTGGGTTTATTAATACCATCTTAACAAGACTTCTGCTTTTCTTCTCAAGGAAGAAAAGCAGAAGTCTTATGACATTTGAAGTGTCCGTCGTCAAACAGGAAACGCTCTCTGTGACTCCACAGGAAAGCAGAACTATTGACACAATCATTCCTGGTAAGGCTCGGACGTGATCTGCAGCACAAACCTGAGGGGAGAAAGTTGTTTTCTGTTTTATCAGGAAAAAAAATGGAATAATAGTTTGGGACAGATCAGGTCATTTATCAGATTTAACTGAGAAATCCTTTGGAATGCGGCATCAGACATCGTTTTTGTGCCGCAATGTTGTTCCTTCCTCTGTTTAAAGAGCCTGCATTACTATACAAGACATTACCATACATATAACACAATGGGGAAAAAAAACCAATGTGATCAAAGCTTATTAATAATTTCCTTTAATGTACATGTAGTGTGACTGATTCTTTCAGGGGTTTCCCCCGTAATGATCAAAAATGATTTCAGTCAGAAAAAAAAGAACCCACATCTTACAGTTACCAACAAGAATTCACACAATATCTCAGTAAAAATAATTGCAACATTAGTAATTATTGACTTTAAAAAAAAACTAAACATTGAAAAAAAAAAAAAAAAAAAAAAATCAAGTAAAAGATGTAACAACCCATGGCAATAAGTGTCTCAGAGGGGGTTTAGGTTGGGGTTCAACAGTCCTGACGAGATGCTGGTCTGCATATTTACAGCGTTGCAAAAGTATTCACACCTCTAAAACGTTTTCACACTTTTAACGTGGCACCCACCAATCCTATGTTAGACCAACACAAAGTAGTGTGCAATTAAAAGGGAAATGTTTTTGAGAGGGTTTTGGCATTTATATATATATATAATTTTACAAAAAAAAAAAAGTAGACTGAAAAATGAGACATGTATTTGTAATTACTCTGGAAATCTTCAAAAATACACTGAAGATGTGAAAAACATCTCGTGTGGTATGAATACTTTAGCAAAGCGCCGTAGCATCGCGTTCACAAACAAACCTGAAGTGACGCACACAAGCATTTCATAAAAGCAGATCATTCTGAGTTTTAGCTTCAATGCCCCTAGGAGTTTTAGGGAAAACTAGGTGGGGGGGAAGGAGGCGTTGAAATACAACATGGCTCCCATTGAGGTCTGTCAACATCATCTTGAGAAAAACTGGCGAAACATGGAGCCAGAATTAAAACTGCTAAACCTCTTTAAGGGCTTTTCGGTTAAGGCGCTGAGAGACTCTTTGCATTAGAGGACACTTTGGAACAAACAGTGACGAGAAAACAGACGTACCATTGCCGTTTTGAAAAAAACAAACCAAAACAAAAAACATCTAGTGCATTTACTCGCAAAAAAAAAGAAAAAAAAAAAGACACTTCAATACGCTTAAAATCGACTGCATTATTAAAGTATAATCTGCCAAAGTGCATGATGCATAATTTATCCTTGTTGATGAACAGCGTCGTGCCTCAGCTCCATGTTCGCTTTGGAGTTGGGACAGAATTCCACTCGCTTTACGTCGGTGGAATTCGTTACAACCTTTGTACTGCATCGAACGGAAACAAGATTTGCATAATAAAAGATTAGTGTGTTTCCCGTTTCCGAAAACAAAGTGAGGTTGGGTTTATATGCACTAAACGATTAAGCTTCTCAAACCAAGAATGAACCAATATTCTTGCATGTAATACTTTTCTGTGATGCATGTTTTTGTTCATTTCGCATTTATTCACACATTTTTTTCATAGTAACTTAATGCCAGAGCTGATGATTTTCCGAAGAAACCTGAACTCCACTACAGTACCGAAAAAAGCTGAAGGATGAGCTTAAAAACCTCCCTGTATTTTAAACATGGAGTAAAAATACAAACAAAAACAAACTACTGCTGCAGACCGCCGCTAAAACCGAGTTAAAAAGTATCAAATAAAACAGGCAACACAATAAAGTTAAACATAAATCAATTTTTTTTGTTTTATGTTTCGACTTGCACAGTAGCTTTTTCTTTTTGCATCCCTGTCCTTACGAAACAAATACTACAGACACGTAAATACTATTGGTGCTTCTCCAACAAAATATTAAAGAGACAGTTCAGGATTTCTGAAGCGAGGTTCAGCTAATATCCTACCTGCAGCAGATTAACTCATTTGGTGTCTTCATTTAGCATAAAATCTGATTAGTTGGACGTGGAGGCTGGAGCTTCAATGCTTGTTCAAGAGCATAAATGTTTGTAAAATCTCTTGTTTTGTTTTTTTCAAAGCAGATAAATTTCAAAAGCACTTTTTGACAAAAATTATTTGTAGCTACATCACTCTCAAAAACAGGAAGTGAGTACCATATATGGATAATAACAATGGGCAGAAAAGTGAGCAGTCTGCATAGACAATGAATGTAGAAAACATGGGTGAGCTGAGATCATAAAGTATTATTGGAAATCATTTATTTTTTCATTTTGTGTCTAAAATTCAAGTAACAAAAAAATTATTTTAAATATATAGAAGGCCACAGAGAGCACAACTTCTGTACAAAAATTAAAGATTAGCTTTATTTCTAGCATTAAATAACTTTCAAGCGATGCAACATGGGTAACAGCAACATTAGTATTGTTAACTAGCTTATTATGACATATTAACATGGATTGACTTTATTTTTTATTAAAGATTTTAGTCTGGCTAGCTATTAGCTCTTGATTCGATGACCAACTAAACTGGAATTGTGTTGCATTTACTTTTTTTATGTACACTGCCATTTTGAATAAAATAGACTGAACTGAAAATTTGACATAAAATTATACTAAATGAAGACACAGTGAAAGTTGGCTATTGCAGGTAAGATAAAAAGTTTTTCTTATATTGCAACAAAACTGCTTAAAATCACGAACTTTCCCTATAATTAGTGAATAATGTACTTTTGGATTTAGTTAAAAAAAACATTGTTTATTCTAAAAAAAAAATTATTTACGCTACTTTTTAGACAGGCATGTAATTTGTGCTCTTAAAAATCTTAATAGTTTAAGATTCTAGCATCCTATAGCTCTTCACATTTGTTTTCGTTTGTATTTAATTTGACTCTAATAAAAACATTTTTGTCATGAACAATTAGTGGGTTGTGGATGGAAACACACTAATAAACGCCTTATAATGAAAGTGCCTATTTGTTTCACTCAGTTAAAGTCACGGACAGTCCAAGGGTTTTGAAGAAACGACCGAACCGCGGTTCGTTTCTCGCGACGAAGCGATGGAAATAAGTTCAACATATCAAAGAAAAATCCCAAGCCTGCTTGCGGCTCGCTGTGCATAGCGTGTATACTTGAAGGCATTATGTTCTCAGCTTTTACAACCAGATTTAGTGTTTCATACCGTTATATCTTGGGTCTCCACCCGTTTATGAACTGCATGAGTTTCTTCACCTGCAGCTTGCTTAGGTGGAAGTCTTCTGACAAAATCTCCTCGGTGAGCTGCAGGAGGAGATTCCCGTCGATCTTCTCGGACACAAAAAGGGAGACTATGTCGTTGGGCAGGCCGATGAACTTCAGACACTTGGACACCTCTTCGATGGAGATGCCGGACAAGTTCAAAGGCGGCTGCCACTGCGCGGTGGGAGAGACGGAGGGACAGTTTAGAGTTGCAGAGCTGGAACAAATCTCGTTGGTGCCCGGCTCGGTTTGAACGGCGGCTCGCTGCGACTCGTCAGAGACGGACTCCGTCGGGAAATCTGGGCACTTCTTGATGGCGTTGGATTTAGGTGTTCTTGGTGGTAAAATTGGGCAGGATAAGCTCTGCTTAGTGTTCGATTCTTCTATAGGCTTGTTCCGGTACATTTCCGAGTTGTAGCTTGAAGATTTAATGCAGATCTGGTCCGTGGGGCCTTTCTGCAAGCTGAACTCCCCGCGGCGGCATGCCAGCTCTCGGCCGTCGTAGTCGTCCAGACTGATTGCGCAGGTTTTCGAGGAACTCGGGGTCCTCTTTCTGGGGTAGCTGAAGTAGCTCCGGCAGCTCACAGGCACGAACTCGTCCGTGCAGTGAGCGTCTCCTCCGATAAAGTTGTTAGGCCAAGACAGACGGGACGACACACCTTCCAACGGCGGGCCTCCGCTGGGCGAAGTGGCTCTTTTCTCCGTAGTGCTGGCGTTACCCCAGCTGCAGGGGTAGCAGACGTGACTTTGCTCCTGTAGCTCGGCTCCCTCTTGCTCAGTTGCTCCACTGCTAATGAAAAATGACAAGACTCATTTGCCAAATAATTCTATTAAATCTCCCGCCCCCCTCCTAGAATGTTTCTGATTCTTACATGTTATGGAGACCAGAGGAATAATAGGAAAGCGTTGGACTTGGAGACCGAGTGTCCTGTTGGCGGGGCTTCGACGGGATGGGCACCGACGGTAGTTGCTTCATACTTCTGGGAGGAATGGGTGGAGCGTTCAGAAGACGACATTCCTCCTTCACCTAAACGGATATTGGATTAATTTGAAAACAGTCAGAAAGTTCCAAGTTTCATACTTGAAACTTTCTGTAGTAATGCAAGTGCCAATGGGAAGTTGGTTCCCTAAAGGCCGAGCGATACTGGAAGAAAACTAATTAGAGGTCAAAGAAAACAGTCACCCTACGATGGTATGGTTTAGATCAAAGTATATTTGTGAATTAGACCGGTTCAGTCAAAGTCCAGAGATAAATACAATTAAGGATTTTTGGTAAGACTCAAAAATGATTATTCAAAGATAGATGGGTTATCTTTAAAAGTCTAAAGCTGGTAGAGACAACAGAGACACAACAGGTGCCTGAACATTTTCCTTCCACTTCACATAAATAAACTACTTTGTGTTGTAGTGCAACATAAAATCCCAATAATGATGTTGACCCTGAAGTAAAAATACTCAAGAATTCTACATTCATCGATTAAAGAAAGAAAAAAAAAACCCTAAGCATGAAGACACTGAAGAGTGAAACTCTCAACAGAAGCAGTTTGACTCTATTGAGTCAAACTCTGTTTCACTCAACACACAGAGTGTATAAAAGAATGGCGTTCTACTCACAGCTTCAGACTTTGGTGGGACAGGTGGCGGAGTAAGTGGAACGTCCAAACTGGTTCTGGCACCAAGAGGACATGTGACTGGATACAGTGAGGCCGTTGTCGCACAGTCATCGTTGGCGACTCGTACGCCTTCACTTGAGGAAGGCTTTGGGCTCTGCCTTTTCAGGTGATCCAACCACAGTTCCTCATAGGGAACGTCCAACTTGCTGAGATCGGCATGTTGGCTTGTGAAGTCCGACAGCTCAGGGAACAGATGCTCGTTCTCTCCGGATTCTGAATGGCTGCCGTCGGAAGGCGGAAGAGCCCAGTCTCCGCACAGCGTCATACACCCCTGCAAGTTGACTTCACTGTTCCCGTGCAGATTGCTGCCATACACGCACACCGAAAGTCGGTGGAAAGACTGCGTGAGCTCGTCTCTGGCGTACGTCAACGAGCTGGGCACCTGCTTGTGGCCGGGACACCCGTTGGAGCTGCCGCTCCCGCCGTTCCCTCCACAGCTGCCGTTCCCGCTGCTTTTCTTCGGGCTACTGCCGTCTTCGTTCCAGTCGGCCCGCACGTCCCGGACGGCCCGAGAGTAGTCGTCAATGTCGAACTGCTCCTGGCAGAAGGAAAACCAGCGGTGCACCATGGTCTCCAGCCACAGCTCTCCCTGCAGCAGCTCTTCCGGAACGATGAATCTCGGCATGGCCATGTGGAAGGGGAAGTGGGTGGGGATGATCTTGTTGCTCCGCAGGACGCAGCACACCACCACCGTCTTGGTCTGGATGTTGACCAGCTTGTAGCGGTGGCCCTCACGGATGAGGTGGAGATCGTACTGGTTGCGGGGCGGCGTGCCGGGCACGACCACGTTAACTGGGAGTCGGGTTTTCTCCACGATGTTCCGGATGGTGTGCTCGCCATACTGCATCTGCAGCTCCAGCGGGCTGCAGGTGCTGAACCGGCCCTTGCACTGAAAGGGCAGGCTGATGCTCTCGTTGGTGCGGTGGTTCATGCAAATCAAGCAGGGCATCTTCCCGCGGCCGATCTTGCTGATGGAGTTGAGCTTCCCAATCTTCTTGAAAATGGTGTTGAGCCTCGACTTTTCTTTAGAGCTCTTGGCGTAAAGGATCTCCGCCTGACCCATTAAAGTCAGTTCGTCACCAGTACTTAGTGTTATGTTGTAAACTTCTGTGTCTTCATTACATTCCCCTGAAGCCATCTGTGAACAAAAGGTAATGAATGTGAAATTTGCACCAACACACACTCCTCTTTGGGATATCTTTCCCAAATCTTTAGGTAGCTACAAGCCATGGTGCTTGTACATAAATGCGGCATTTTCAGGCATCTGGAAATTGAATCCAAAGACAAACCAGATGTATCCACATCTCAACTTTTTTTTGGATACTTGGTCAATTGATTTTTTTTTTCATGATATCACACAAGGAAGCATCGTGTCTGAGGTGATGTCATAAAATACATCCACGGGAGAGCAGCTTCCATTTAACTCCTATATAGCAAATTACCCTTACAATGTAGTGACATCATCCTCTGGCATTTAAGGGCATTGTAATCTTTCCTAGAAAAATATCTCCATCCTTATTCTGCCATTGTCATAATTCTTCTACCAACAGAAGGCCAGTTCTTCTTGTTTTCTGGAGTTATGACTGACTGTAGTTCATAGAGCTGCTCAAATGAGTTTTTATAATCTAAAGCTTCATGGCTGATGCTTTTCTATTATTAGGTGAGAATCTAAACAGTATGCAGGTACAAACTGGTCCAGTCAACATTCCTAAAATGTAATTAGTTAAACCTATGTGTTTATCTATAGTCTGGTAGAAACTGGCTGAGTGTCAAAATATTATTATTATTTTTTTACTTTAACCTTTAAAAACAAGCAAACAAAATATTAAATAATGGAGTGAGAATTAAGGACTGGGACTAAAATGCCCGGTGTGCATTGTCATGAATGCCGGTGGGATGATTTTGTCTCGTCAGACACTCCTTTTATTGCTGGAGTTAAGGCAAGCATAAAACATGTCTAAGAGGAATGCTGTCCTTTGTAGTGCTTCATAGTTTAGCAGGAAGTCATCAAAATCAAGATAAACAAAAGGCTTTAAACATTTCAAGACAGCAAATTTTCCCATCCTGCTGTTACTACACTTCAGATTCTTTTTACTGAGAGCAATAATAAAAAGAATTTGACGTCACTCCTCGACCAGCCTTTGCTGCGCACAGCCAGTCAGCTGGCTTAAAGAGTTAAAAAAATGTGCCTGTTTGGAAATAAACATCCCTTCCAATGACATTTCTATTAGCAACCTCGGCAGATAGCCTGATAACGTCCACAAATTATAAATACTACATCTTTATCACATTAAAAATCCTTAATTTGCTGAAGAAATAAATGGTGCTAGTATGACCAGGATCATTTAATAGTTTTCTTTCTGATAGTTTTCTAATTATATGTACTACTGTTTTTACTCGTTGCCACAAATTCTCTCTACATATTATGATATATTATTGAGGAGATATCTTCATATCCACCTTTCCTATGGAACCTGGCCTAAAGCAGCTTTAATCAACGTCCGTTTAACGGGTTGAATGTACCTTAACATTGAAAGTGATCTCCTCCATGACATACACCCTCTCAGGGAAAGCTTTGGCCACCTCCTCCACACTGTTGAAGTACTGCACAGGCTCCTTGACATCTCTGTCCTGCTCCAGCAGCTTAAACTGACCTGAAGTTGGAAAAAAAGCAAACAAATAAGCAAAGGAATATAAGAAGAAAGGTCAGCTCAAGTATCAAAAATATTCTCCAAGTGATGAACAGTCGACCATACTGTCGATTCCAGAAGTGATGGATTTTCAAAATACAAACTGCTACAGCCTTGTGTATGAAGTGAGACAAAGGTGGAGGTAGAAAGACAAATCGCACAGAGCTGCTAGTCATTTTATAACATTTTTAGAGTTATATTTACCTTCACAATTCATCAAAAATACTTACCAATAGCAATAAAACTAAATATTTCGAATTACAACCGGCATTGCAGGGTCAGTGTGTGGAGAAAAAAAAAATATTTCACAGGACGGCTTAGATGAAATATTTGGTAGAATAATACATTTCAAAATAAATACACTAACACTGTCTTCAAGTACTACATATGGCCAGCAGGATGGACTTTTTTGACCATTGGGGGACAAATTGACCAAAGCTGCAAGGAAACCAAAAACCCCAAAAAGTTGTGGGGATATTATTATGATGGAAAATATAGAAAATGTTGGTTAATCACAACGGTTTCATCACCATATAAACAAAAAAACCTTTAACATTTCCTAATATTTTGCAGTCCCATTTTGCAGACATGGGTACAAATTGTTTTTAAATAGTTATGAAATGGAAACCGGTTGGGACGAAATTTTCATATGTGGGTTACAAACTGAACTAGTAAACTGATATAGAGAAATCAAACAAAAAATGCCTGTTGCTGGAGCTTACCTTCATAATGAACAGGGATCTCTATCTTGGGCCCAATCACGTAGTGTCCCTCCTCCAGACTGTGAGCAGTAATAGTTGTCCACTGACGGCAGGAATGGATCAAGAGGTAGTCATTGTCTCGAAGCCCTTCAACTGACTGGCCTGCACAAGTTATGGAGTGGCAAATAAATAATAAAAAAAATTGAAATGTGCATCTTTAGATCAGACAAAGGCTACATGATTTATGCTGTTAAGACACAGGATGCTGTGAAACAAGTTATGACAGCAGACATTCTCAAACTGTTTACTTTTTGCGGCAAAAAGTTATTTCCATTGACATTACATGCTTCATTTATATTAAAATCACATTTCCGAGCGGTCTGTAGTGCTTAAAAAATAAGAATTTCTAAACTTTTTCCTGCATAGTCTAGCTTCAACACAAACGAATTGGTTTTCATTCTTAGCATAAACACAGTGACACCACCTCAGAGAACATTTTTATTGTTCACATTTACATTAATTTCTTCAGCCTAACATGGTGTGACCTGTTAAGCAGATGCACCATTTGCGTCCTACCAAAGAAAATCTCTAAAAATGTATTTTAAACAACCAAGTCCAGCATTAATTGTAAACCACAAGACTCAATTTTCTGCTCACCAACGCAAAGATAACAGCTTGAGAAGTCAGTGTAGTCACAATGTTACTCACCGTTATCCAGTTTGACAATCTGGGGCAGCTTATATGTACTGACCAGCTGGTCTAAAGGTAGGGACGTCGTGCTCCATGTAACATCTTTTAAATTGTTGTACAACATTGTTCCAAGGTCCATTTTGCTACAATTAGCTTCCATTAGCCAACTATGGAGTTAGCTGCATGTAAACACGGCTACGAAGGGCTTCTCTGGGCCGAATAAAACAAAGATACCGCTTTTCTTAAATTAAAGTGTCATATATCAAATAACATGACGCTTTTTATCTGTTGCATGTTTCCCTTTTTTCTACGTGCCTAAGTATCATAAGGGTTCGTTGTCCGAAAAAGTAGCAGAGCCATGTTTGTTTAGCTAGCGACGGCTAACGGAAACGCGTTTCGGGTCTCTCAAAATAAGAGCGTTGTTTATTTAGAGCCTAATGAGAAACTTTATTTATAACATTTAAATGTATTCACACACATTACAATATCTAGGAAAGTAATTTATACTTTATGTCCTACTGGAGGATGTAGTATTTTTTATCAAAGGCGACATTTGGCTATTTACAAGTAATTTACTTTGAAAGGTATAGACCGGAGGTTGTATTTTGTGCTGTGAAGTTTGGCACAGGAGCTCATTATTAAAATAGATTAGGAGGTAATCCTTGGTGTCTGCTGCCGAGTTTAAATCCAGTAGGTGGTGTTGGCAGCATCATTCTGTGGGAATGCCTCTCTTAAACAGGAAAACAAAATAAATGATGCAGCTTAGTGGGCATAAAAAATAAAACTGAATATCTACCTAGACAACATACTTTTTTGAAACCACATGTATGACAATATCACATTTAGAAGCAATCTGCCAAGTTGCAAAATTGAATTAATTTAAAATTTAAATGAATTTATAATTTGCAATACTTAATAAATGTGCTTGTTGCAATTATACGGAGAAAAAATAATATTATAAAATATTATTTTTCCATGTAAAATCAATCTAAGTATCAATTTCTTTCCAGCTTTACTGGGTTTGCGTTGAAATGCAATGAATGTCAGACCAAATGGGTAAGCCTGAGAAATACATTGTCTCCTCAATTTATTTGCTGCTATTTATTTATTAAATTATGTGAAATAACATGGGTCATCAAGGGCCAAATATGATGCAGTTTAATAAAATACATACTAATATCTAATAATTAAAAATGGATAAATAAAGGTGTCAATATTTTTTTAAATACATCATATATTTAATAATACGTTTATGCATAAATCTTCAAATAAAATTTGAAGTGAATGTAAGTTAAAAGCACAGTTATGAATCATAATCGTCAAAGTCAGTGGGCGGGGCTAATGCTGCTACAAGTTGCTGTGCAGGTTAATCATTCAGATATCAGAACACAGAGGCTGTTAAAAGTATTTTATGATAGACTGTGGCAGAGATAATGTGAAATGATGCATGGAAATATATATGGCTTCGTTATAAAAAATAACTGTTGAGTGTATCATGTGTCTAATACCATATTGTACAGTATACAGAGCTCCTTTTATTAAACTAATTGAGTACATCATCCCATTTATAAGTATTTGCTCCATGAATATTTTGAATTCTTCATGTGACCTTAAATGATCTTGCAGCGGCCCTGGATTTAAACACCTTTTTATGATGCACTCCACATATTTCATCATATAAATAGCACTTGGACTTGTTGCAGTGCAGGGAAACTGTCAAGCACTGTTACGTGTCACCGCACTTCCTGATCTCACTGGTACAAATCAGAAGAGCTTCCCCAATTTGCTCTCAGTGTGCCCTTGGCCCGGCAAACATGTCTTTCGTGGACACCCTGCGGCAGTGGGACGAGGCTGTGACCTGTGCCGATAGACAGGACTGGCCGGAAGCCCTCAGCATCTTCCTGTCCATCCAGCAACCCAACTCCAAAATTTGTTTTGACATCGGCTGCCTCCACCTTCTCAACCAAGACCTGGACGCTGCTGAAAAGGTACGTCTGGAATACGCACAGAGTGAAATGTTGGTCACGTTTGACCAGAAAGTGACAGATTCTTCCGCCAATCAAAGGGTAAAAAAAAATAAATAAATCAATTAAAAATAAATCATCCAGCTTCTGCTGGGGTCAACTGTGAGACGATGCATAAGCGACAGTGTCTGAAAGTGCGAGTCACCCTGAAAGAAGAAGTAGTTGAACCATTTTTGTTCTTTAAGAGGAAGTTACAGGAGTTTTTTTCTTCTTCTTCTATTTCTTAGGCATTTGACTGCAGCATACGTAAGGATGAGCATTTGGCAGTCGCCTTCTTTCAAAGAGGAATCACCTTTTACAAACAGAAGAGGCAAGTAGCACAAATCATTTGAATAAAATGCCAACTTTCTGACTGTTTTGTTCAAAATAAATAAATAAACCTGGCATATGTTCCATCCAGTTTGATTCTTGGGCACCACTTATAGATTTACCTGTCAGATTCATGATGTGTTATTTACTCCACCACTCTGCTTGAAGGTATGAGGAGAGCTCAGCAGATTTCCAGAGAGCTTTTAAAGCTCTCCGAAACAACCAGGTGATCGATTACAAGGCGCTCGGTCTCAGATACATCCTGTATGCATGTGAGGTAAGCAGTTTATTTATATATATTTTTTTATATCCTCTCCACTCAGCTGTTCCCAGAAAGAGCCCAGCTGACTCTCAGTAGTTGTAAAATAAGCAGCAGCATTTACTAGGCCTTGCAAAATTACTCACATTCCCTGAGCTTTTATTGGCTCACACGTAGTTACTATGACGATCAGATCCATCGTCAAGGCCCTGAGCTGCAATAGATGTCTCAGACGTGATGTTAGATTTATAACCATGACGCTGTTGTGATCAAAAACTGTTTGTTTAGGCACATATCGGTAAGTTAAAGTATTTATTTAAAGATAATAGTTACCTGTTAGACATTTAAAATGATTTGTAGTCGATCTGTGAATGATTTTTGAACTTTAGAGTAAGCAGCTCCAACCAGCAGCTATATGTTGTCTTGTGATTTGGAGCAGATGCTGACTCGTCCCTAAAACTTAAACAGAAGAAGTTGGTAAACAGCAGACTCTATTTTGAAATGAATTGCGTAATGTGCCAGGAACACACATTTCATCCAAATCCTCTCACGCTCCCCCTTCCTTGACGGACTGATAAAACGCCTGATGACATCACATTGAGTAACTTCTGTGACCTGACTAAGGTTGAATCAATGAGGAGTTTATGACGAGCAATGCTGAGAAACACACAAGTTTTTATTCTTATATATATATATTTTGTGGGGAAGAAACTCCCACTTATCCAGAAAGATGAGTTCTTACTCTGTTTAAAGTTTGGTTTAAAATTCAAAAGAGAAACCACACATTCAGAGAGAGAAAGCGCCGCTAAACTGTTTTTTTTTTTTTTTTTTTTTTCTTACCACAAAAAGAGTTGCCTCTTAGTTGCAAGTGATTTTAAAAAGTATTAACTCCTGGATAAACTGCAGGCCACACTTGTCAGACTTTCATTTGTAGGCTGTTTCAAGTTGATCATATAATACCAACACATTAGATTAATACACTAAAGGTTGTGGTGGAAATGCGACAAAATGTGCGAAAGTTCAAAGGTTACAAATAATTATTGCAAGGTGCTGTATGTCCAAATCCATATGGATGGATGCATTTAGAAACATACGCTCTATTCTGCTGAACAGTACGACAGCTTATTAAGGGCATTGTAGATTGAAGGGAAAAAAGGAGTAAAATTCTACCAAAAAAAACTCTCAAAAATTTTGAGATTAAGCTCAGAAATTTTAGGGTTTTTCTCACAAATTTTTGACTTTTTGAGTTCAGAAACTTCCACGTTTTTTCTATAAAATCTCTGAGATGAATTTCAAAATTTCTGAATTTTTTGGCAGAAATCTACTCCTTTTCTTTTTGCTGTCTGCACCGTCCCTCGTGTGCCGTCACAAACAAAAAGGGTTTCGAAATAAAAGAGACAAGCTTCTTATGTAGCAGGACATTGATAGTTTTGATGCTGCAGGTTCTTCACAATGTAGCTCTGGCTGAGGCTCAGCTGGGCAACTGGGAAAACGCCCAGAAAAACCTGGCGAAGGCCCTCGACTACAAGACAGAGGCCAAGCTCAGCGTCATCGACAAAGCTCTGCAGGCAACTCTGGTCAGTTACGATGTTTCTGAATCGCACGTATTAACACTGAGGGAATCTTTTAAATGGTTTTCTTTTCAATTGCAGAAACAGAAGCTTTTCAGACTAGTCGAGTTCCCTTCAAAGACTCTGTTCAAACCAAACAAGCACTACGTAGCAGAGCTGGAGAAGAAGGACTATCTGGGCAAAGCAAAGGTATTACAACGCGGCTGAGGAACAAACAGAAACATCCGCTTAATTCTGCTTTTTGGAAATAAGTGTGGATGACTTGTCTTTATGTGATAGTCACCCATTTCCTTTTTATTCACAATAATTCTGTGGAATATGTTTTGATTTTCATTTGTTTTAAACCATCAGGTCGTTGCCTCCGTTGTTCCACAAGACGAGTTCTCTGGATTTGCCCCGCTGCAGCCGCAGGTGAGACGTGAGTTCATGTAAGACTGAGAAAAAATCCTGAATAAATTGCATTAGAAATCCAAAATTTACCAACATATGATAAGTTTGGGTCAATGTGACTCTATAAAAAAAAAAAAGTGTTAGATTTTTTTAAAATGTATGAATTACTAACTTTATACTTATTTTTTTTACTTATTAACTTTTATTTCTATTTTGCTGTGAGTCACCAGGCTGCACTCACAGTATACTAATATAGATCACTAGGCAACCTGGGGTTATGTGCTGGAAAAGATGGAAAAAAGTTCACAACTTTCCAACTACAAGCCAAACAGGAAGTGATGCGATAATCCTTACCCACAGTTAGTCACTTAAATAAAAAACTGAAAATAAAAACCTGCTGAAATTAAGATACAGTTTGTAATTTGATTACTTCCACACAGACTGTGTTGAAGCCTTCACTTCTTTGTTTTCTGTATTTTTGCTGATAAAAATGTAGTATTAGAATATTAAAGCAGATGAATAAAAAACATTTGACATTCTGATGCATCCGGTCTGTGTGACTGAACTGTCCTGTGTTCTGACCGAAGGTTGAAGATGGTCCAGCTGCTCCAAAAGAACCCGAGGTCCTGAGGTATGCAGCACACACTGGAGCACTACAGTACCAATAAACACACTGCTGAATACAAATCACAGACATGATTCCTCAGAACATAATGCTTTCAAATTGTAACGTTTCTGTTAATAACAAATTCAGAAGAATAATTATTTGTTTACAAGGTTTCTGCAAATTTCAGCAGTTCAAACTTAAGACTTTTTAAGACCTTTAATGTCACCTTGAATTATATTTAAGATGGGGA